GATTTTCATTTTTTGGGTCAACTAATGCGGAATAGTACCGGAGGTAGGGTGGGGTGGTACCGACATGGTTGTTGTTGTAATTTCCAATTTGTAATTTGAGGCGTGGTGATGATTTCATAAAATCGAAACGTCGGCAGTAAATTGCTGAGTTCTCAAACTTTTTCAACAATTGTACCAAATAGAAGCTCAGAGATAACACTTTTTACAAAATTATTGTTTTTGAAGAATTGCTTAAAGTCTTTGTGTAACATCGTTGCTATTCCAAGTAGATTTCCTTCCAGCCATTTTGCGCACTCTTTGAATCGATTTTACTTACTTTTTTCTTCAGGTCCGGTGTAAGATGGCGGGCGGAGGAGGGGAAGAGCATGCCGCGCATTCGTCCGCTCAGGATGATCATCATGATTCTGATGATGACGATGATGGCGCAGACGAGGTTTGTACGCGATTTCGCTACCTTAATGAATTTTAATCAAAATTATACATTCTTAAGCAACGTTTTTTCCTAGATTTTGGAAGAATCCCCATGTAAACGATGGTCGAAAAGGCGGGAACAAGTCAAACAAAGGGATGTTCCCGGTATTGACTCTGCCTACTTGGCGATGGATAATGATACTGGTAAATTTAACCTTGGGTTTACAAGCGAGGTACCATAATGTGTTAATATTTAGGTAATGAGGTTGTATGGAACGAAGTGGAATTCTCCGAACGGAAGAATTTTCGTTCTCAAGAGGTTCGTTTCTATGTTACTGTACCTTTTATTTTCAAAAGTTTCTGTAAGATGCTTTGCTATTTCTGTTTATATTTGGGAGATCCTTTTGTCTCCGTTGCACAAAAGTCGCGTTGCAGAAAATTTTGACCTTTTGCTGCAAATCAGACATTTGAATGAGAGCCACTTCAAAAGGACGAAGTGGGGCGACAGTCTCTATAGTGCTCCTCACAAGATATCGTCTGTGGGAGAAAATTGCATAAAAACTGTTTGCAGGAGAAAATCGCAAAAACTTGTTTATAGGAGAAGATCAACGCGGTATTCGACAACCTCACACAATTAGTCCATACGAATCTTGTGAAATTTCATAAATACT